ACAAAGCATTGGGATAAGACCATTAAAATTGAAATTGACTCAATTAAGAAAAATAATACTTCGACCTTCATGGATTTTCATAAAGGAGCAGAACCCATTGGTTATAACTTGATCTTTAAGAAAAAGTATCATGCTTATGATCCACAGAGAAATATAAGTTAATATTAGTAAAAAAAGGTTTTACCCAAAAACCAATAATAGATTACTGATACTTTTTACCCAATAACTAACAATTTCTCTATTTAAATGTTCTTAGCTACAACATATTTATCTATAAGTTAGTTATTTACCAAATAAATGTTAACACAACTTTTCTGAATGGGAAACTATAAGAAAAATCTTATATGACTCAACCTAAAGGGTGTGTAGTTCTTTGTTAATAAAATAAAGTATCCAAACTTTTTAAGTCTTTATACAAATTGAAATAGGCATCAAAATAATGGGATGGAAAACTTAATAGTGTTTTACTTTGTGATGGTTTTTGAGCTAATGTCATTATATGTTTATTATATGGATGACATGCCAATATTTTGTCCATACAATGAAATAGATTCTAAAACAAAGTTGTTTTTGGGATCTAAGTTTGAAATGAAAGACATATGTAAAGTCAATGTGATTTTAGGAGTTAAAATCATACGGGAAATAATATACTACTATCCCAAGAACAATACATTATGAAACTTCTTAAGAAGTTCAAGTATTAGGACTCAAACCAATAAACACCTCTTATGATGTTAACTATAAATTAAAGAAGAATAGAGGATAATCTATTTTTCAACTATAGTATGCCCAAATAATTGAGACCTTGATAACGGTTGAAAATACCGTTATCTGTGATGTAATTTTGATATTAAATCAATCGTTTTTGGACTTAGAAGTTTGCTTGAACTCATGTTTTTAGTTTAATTTTGTGAATAAGTGAGTAGAGGGTATACTTGATGATTTTATCACTAAATTCCCTTCATTTTATAAGTTATTGGTATGAATTGGAAGAAGAGCAAAAGTATCAAGGAGTTGGAATTCAAGAGGGACATTTAAAGCATCACAAAAGGAGACAAGAGGTCACGCAGGGCACCTAGGTGCCCCCATTATAGGCGTTGGGCGCGAATTTATGTGGTGTAGGGCGCCTGGGCGCCCCAATCAGGGCGCATGAGCGCCAGTTTTTTCCCGCACACCGCCTGGGCGCCCCACTTAGGGCACTGAGCACCTGCGACATGGGCTTGAACCTGTTTTCTGTTATTTTTCTGTTCTATTTAAGGACTTGGATGTCCTAGGGATGGTATCTCTTGATGGCTTGAGCATAGAAACACATTTTTCACCCCTTTGAGGCAGATTTGGGGATGTGGGAGCTCTCCTCTTCAGTTTTTAGGGTTTTTCTATCTCTTCCATTCCATTGTTCATTTAGTTTCTCCATGATAATGGAGAACTAAACCTTATTTGTTGTTGGGGAAGATGTAACCTCTAAACTCTCATGTATTTGAATTGATTCTTATTTATTTATGTTTCTTTCATCAATTTTTAGGGTTATTCTTCTTTGCTCTATGCTTGCTATGTTTAATTCATTCATGACATGATCATTGATTCTCATGATATGGACACATACGGGGAAACCTAGATTTGGAGAATTTTCTCCCAAAAGCAATATTGCCTAGACATAGGGATATGCATTTTGATCATCTTAAGCTTCTAATCGTAATGCAGAATTAATTACTAGTGATACAAGACATTGTGACCTGGTAATTAAGGATAGACTTTCTTCGCCGAGACATCGGGTTTTAAGTAATTTAGAAAGTAATGTTAACAATTGAATGAAGAAGATGAATTCTTATATGCATGAGAGTAGACTAGGTGAAATCTAAACCCCCAACAACATACTCATCTCATATTTTCAACTTCATCCATTCATTATAGTGTTTAGCCTCAATTGATTAATTTGCATTCATATTTACTTTCTTGTTTTGCATTCAAAACCCTAAAATTTGTTCTTCAAAGTCTTAATTAGTTAAGTAATTACATGACAGTCTAGTGCCGTGAGTCTCTTGAGAAATGATACTTGGTCTTACCATTTATTATTACTTGATACGATTCGGTACACTTGCCGATATCTTAACAGACCTTAATGTATTTAATGAGCTTTTCTAAACCAAACATGGCTTATGTAGTAGGTAGACTTAATGTCCTGATCAAGATCATTTATATGCACTTGTAAGACTTGTGAAATACTTAAGATATGCAATGAATCATGCCATTGAATTAGTGGATTTCCCAACATACTAGAAATATTGATACTAATTGGATGTTTTATTAAGATGAGACAAAATCCATTAGTGGTTATGTGTTTACACTTAGGCGTATTGTGATTATGTGGAGATAAATCAGGCAAAGAACTATTGCAAGATCAACAATGGAATCAATGTTTGTTGTTTTTGAGATGGTCAGAACTGAAGTTGAGTGATCGAAATTTTTTTTAGAAAACACACTAGGAATGAAACCAACCCCATATTTATCAATACACTATGATTGTCAATTAGACAATAATTATAGCTAAAGACAAAAAAGACTAGAATTGGAAGAATAAATTCTTAAAGAGTGCAACAATTTCCAATGATTATGTTATGTCAAAACGGAATCTGATAGATCCTTTGACGAACATTTAAGGGGAAACACAATTTTAGAAATATCAAAGAAAATGAGACTCGAGCCACTTGCAAATGAACAAGTAGTGAAATATCAACATGTGATTAGAGATCCCATGAATAAGAATCATATGGGTAAACAAGTCATTTGTTAGGTCTATTAGCACTAGAATTGATTTTAAATCAATTATGTCAATTCCTATAACATAGTGCGTGAAAGGGCAAAATATTGCATAATGAAAGAGTAAACTTTGAAGTTAAAATTATCTAGTATAAAACTTTTAGCTTCTAACAAAGCTTTTAGTGATTTTTGAATCCCTTAAGAGTAATGTATGATTTACAACATGCACTTGATTAAATCCCCTATATGAATTCTAATTGCATGAGATATAGATAAAATCCTTATAACACTCATGAATATCATGTTTGTATATGGTGTAGTAAGTACAACAGAACGACAACAAGATTTTAAGAGATAAACCACTAATAGACACTAAGTGTTTTTGCTTCATATAACTTGTTATGACAACTATATTGTGGGTTAAGTTTCTCAATTTAAAATTGATTCATATACCAATTGTACTACATTAAATTTTATATGAAACCTAGGATTTTCTTCAATAATTATTTATATCTTATACCTTTTGTGGAGAATTGTTGTGCAAATTAGGCATTTCAAAGGGTTTAGAATTGAGTCATATCCGCATCTAAGAGTGATGTTGAATCTTGTTCTGCAAGCAAGGCAGTCGGGGATGATTCCAGATCTGGTGCTACTAAGATCTCAAGGAGTACATGGAGCTTCAAATGAATGATGCCTTTCTTTTCGCTTTTCCTACTCCTCAGGAATGGAAGAGTTCACTAGGGTGCATGCGCGCTCCTCCATCTTCGGGATCTCTCCTTCCCCTTTGCCTTTTCTTCTACCTATCTAATTGGGATCGTGGAGCTTGTGATGGTGTAGAACAAGACTCCCCTCCGTACATATAGATGCATCTCCACTCTTCCACATAAACACACATTCCTTTACTCTCACTTCTTCTCTATCTATTTTATATCCTAGGTAATTTTAATGCTAGTTTTGAGTTCTCAATGTTATTTGAGAAGTTACTTTTATATTCTGGAAGACTTATGTAACACATTACTAATAAGTCCCTAAAGATTGTGATTTTCCACACCTTAGGAAATTAATCTTGTTTGTGTTTCCATTAATTTTTTACAATAATCAGGGGCTGCAAACTGACCGACACAATTTGAATAGGCAGTGCTGTGGGAACTAGAAAGTGAAACTTTTGGTTAGAAATTAGATGATGATTGTGTTGGGATAAACATAAATTTGAGGGTTTTATTAATAATTTTGTTTAAATATTATTTTATTAGTTTTGGGTCTAATAATATTTAATTTGATTTGATAGAGATAAAAGATGAATAAGTAGTTGTGATTTTCTGTTTATCTAGGTACAATATTATTTTATGATAAATTAAGCAGATTTTATTTTTAAGATAGTTGATATTTTATTTTTAGATATTATTTTTATTTTTATAATATAGTAAGTATCACGGCTATTTAAAACTCTTCCATTATCAATGAACAACAGACTCAATTTTAGAAAAATATTGGATGTATCGTGACATTTTCTTAACAAATTGTCGAGTTTTGCATCTGTATAATGTTGCACTAAGGCTTCAGCAACAGCTCTTGATTCTTTATCTTTCAAAGTTTGTGTCTTCTTATAGCTTCTTCTTCTATTCCTAATGGGCCAACAGATCTGCTTTTATATTCTTTTTCAACCCTTCCTGTAGACGCTTTTTCTCAACTCGATGTGCTATCTTCTGGTTGAGTGGCTTCAGATTCGGTTAGGGAGCATCTATAATATCTTTCTTTTTAGAGAAAACATAACGCCAGTCTTGGAAGTTTAGGTGGCAACGGTTGCAACTTCTTCACGAAAGTACCAAATCCTCACTGGTTTATTTTCTGCTTACTTAGTTTGTTGATTTGCCAATGCAAGCCAACAGAAATATTAGTTTTGAACTACTTGTCTTATTCTTGAGCAGATTTGAACCTAATTGCTTTCGTCTTCATTGGACTAGACAGTCCAATGAACACCTCACCATGATCACAATTATCACTAAGGTAGGAGGGTTCAATCCATATATGTAGATCTTCAAAGACTATGGCATTGTTTAGAAGATCCAGGTAGACTTGTGAGAAAGGTAGGATGAATAAGAAGGTAAAATGTTGTTTGATAGGTAGTCTTTGTCAAATATGTCAGCATCAGAAAACTTATGGCAAGATGATGTTTAAAACAATTTAAAATCACTATTTGTTAACTAATTAACTATGATAAACAGAATTGAAAGGTACATAACCTTATGCCAGGGTGAGTCCAGTTTGGCATTTGAAAGAACATGCAGACCAGAAGAAACCTCTTTAATGGTAATTGGCTGTCCTTTGGGTATGTTGGTGATGTAAATCATTGATTTGGAGTGAATATCAGCCACAATCAAGTTGAATCCATTGTAATAATCACCCTCTCTTTTTAGGCTTTCTGCAAATTCTTTAGGATGTTTCCCACTCTGTCATATTCAAATGGTAACAAACTAAAATCATACTTTACCTTCTAAGATTAATTGCAACAGACTAAAATTTTGTAAAATAAATATAATTATGTAAAAATTTTAAGTAGACTAAGATTAAACTCAATATATATGTGTATATATACCTTAAGAAATGATACAGGTAGATCTCCTCTGGTTTTAGCCTCGGGGAGAGAACGAAGCTCCAAAACATTGGTGAGAAAAGCCACTCTTCCATCTCTTGAACAAGCCAACCATGTTCCTCCACCTATCTCATCTCTTCCTCCAACTATATCACTATCTTCCCACCATGACATAGCCTTCGTAGGTCTTAACACCAAAATAATTAAAAAAACATAATTGAAATAGGTAAAAACATGCATGCATGTCAAAACCATGCAACATAGTTACAGTAAATGTGGAAAACTTGCCGGTTGTGATATTCATCTCTGTTGTTGAGGAGAAGGAAAGGGTAGAGAGGGTGGGTTTGCCAAAGAAACAAAGCTATGCACATTCTTCAATTCAAAGGCTTTGAATTTGAACAAACTCTTCACAACTTTCTATACCCACTATAAGCATCCAATGAAAAAAAGTGGCTTTATTTATAGTTGCAATAAGAGGGAAACGATGTTGACAAATTGAAGACGTGAACCTTTCTCTACTTTTGAAATGATGAAAGACAGGAGCACACGGCTGACTTTATCTTGAACAAGCACGGTTGAATAATAAACCAAATTTGACTTAGGTTAAGTTGGTTTCTTACATTTTATTTATTAGATCCAATTTAGCTCATTCATTCTTGTTTGGATTCTACTAATTGGGTCATATATAGATTTCAAAGAATAATTATATGATTGTCATAAGTAAAATTAAGAAAACATTAAGTATCAAAACTATTAAATAAGAATAACTAAATATTAATTAAGTAGAATTGAATTGAAAGTTCAACTAAACTATAAAATATTAGGTGAGTTCAGTTTGAATTGGATTTGATAGAATTAGAAAAAATTATGTTCAATTTATTTTAATGGTTGAGAATCAGTAAAAATCTATCGTAAAAGAAAAGTACTACAAGTTATCTTATTGACATTTTGTGAGCAATGGAATACACTTGTCTATTTTAAGCCACCAAACCAACAGCGAAAGCCACATGGAATAACAAATGGGGATATGCAATTGCACACTGATCACATCACTTAATTTGTGTAACTTTCACTGAATATAAAATACCACCATATATAGCTTTACATAGGCCTAAATTGCAACATTCATATTTAAAAATATCTAACTTCAACTAGGCACACTCAAATTTAATTATCCATTGCGACCAACAGATAAGTTTGTTTAAAATTCATAGTATAATCCTTACATGAGATCGTGGTAGTTATTCATTTATTGCACTATGTCCCACCTCTATGCTTAGAGATATTAAAAAGGATGGCTTAAAAATGATACATGAGTCAGCGTTGGAACCATCGAGAAAGAAGGAAAAACTACACAACAGTTTTCTTCATCTTACAATTTTCTGAATTATTATAAAAGTCTAGTTTAATATCATAAAACCGATTTATTGGTGAAAATATATCCTTGAATCTAAATTAACATTAATTATAAATAACAAAGTTAAATATCATATTAAAAAAATAAATTTATAAATCTAACATTTTCAATGTTTGGAATTATCAATCATTATGTTAATAAAGTTTATGATATATATATAGATATAGATAGATAAATGATATCAAAGTCTAATTTTTTTATTCTTAAAAAATAATTATCGAATAACAATGAATAACATACCAACAAATAATAAATCTTATTAAATAATTTAATATTATAACATTAATTTATATGTTGAGATTTTCATTTTTATTTATATGAGATTTACATCTATTTATATGATATAATTTTTTTTATCTATTTATATGATATAAAAAAAGTTTTATATAACGTAGGATCCCTTGTAAGGTTGAGGTATGAATTTAGTATTTTTTTTTTTTATGAAAATTAGGGTAGGTATGAGTCACTTTTTCTGGTGCAAGGTTGATTTTAATTCATAAATATACCACCAAAAAAGTATCATGTATACCTTAAATAGTTCTATCATTACTGTTTACTTTTGGGGTATAATTTATACGTTTCCTTTCTATTGAATATTATTGTTTAGTCAATAATTTCTTTGTTTTCGTCATACCCTGAGTCAACTTCATTTGTTTTTCAAAGGGCAATCCCATGGGACCTAGGCCATGGTTCATAAAAGTTCAACAGAAAATCACGTCATCCAGATAAGAGCAAATCGTGAGACTAGGAAATTCAAACTTTCCGTGGCTACACTAATGACCTATTTAAAGCTTAAATTTAATGAGATAATATTACATGGAAGATAATAAGTAAAACTTTTAATGATTACAAGAAATAAGATAAGTTAATCATAATTATTAGATTAGATTAGATTTCAATTTTATTTATATAATTTTTAGTTGATGATAAAAAATATTATTTTTAATTTTTAAATTAAACACAGAATGAAATTCAACTCTTTTATAATCTGAATTGTTAATCATAGTTTATAAATATGGCAATCAAATTTAAACACATAATTCTCGTTATGACTCTACTTGAATCTCGGGATAGGAAAATTAAACTTAAACACGCATTAGTAAAAAAACAGTACTTTAACGCATTTTTGTAATTAAGAAGAACTTACACGACTCAATTTAGTAGAAACCGAAGTCTGTGTCCTCTACTGCTTCGATGATTTACGAAACTGAAGCATAAAACTCTCTACGACAAAGCATACTGCTTCGGTCTTTTACGAACCGATGTCATTGAGTATTTATGTTTTGGTTTGCTTTTGACCGAGGCATATAGGTCAATATGTATTCCCACATCTTCATTCTCCCACATCTTCATTCACGGTTTCTCGATCCCTTCGTGCAAACCCATTCTTCGAAGCATATTTTCCACCTCTGTTAAGGTTCTCTTCAAAGCATATTTCCCCTTTCTCATCTTCCATGGCCATCTTCAGGAAGCTCTGCCGTCACAGATGGCGGCCTGTCTACTGTCATCGCCAAGCCCAACGGTTACAACGGCGAGTTGGAAATGAAGAATTTATGTTGGGGTTCGAAGGAGGTAGATAAAGGTTCATTTTTGGAAGCGGAAAAGGACTTTGTGCGGCGTAGCTCCTGGAGGACGGGTGGGCGAAAGAGGGCTTTAAGGGCGGCGGTGCCGGTGGATGGAGGTTTGTGGGCAGTGGCGGGGCTTCCTCTCCCCACCGTGTCGGTGGTTCCTTTAACCGGATGATGGCCTATCTCTCTATCTCTCTTCCACATTTTAGGGAACACCCGCGCATATATATGCAATATCTTTCCCTAGCGTCGTGATAATGGCGTAATCCAGTTGAGGATAGCGGCAGTGGAGGCTCAGGCGACGGGTGCGACGGGTGCGACGGTGGAGCTCTTGCTGCAGTGGCGCACTCGTGACAAAGGAGCAATTTAGTGATCCCTCTATCCCGCGATCTGCTGTCGTGGTGACGCCTTTGTCGTAGTGACTATCCGGTGATGCTGCAGGGAGAAAGTTGCGGTGCTGGTTGCATCTGTAGGGGTCACGATTGTGGCTTTACCCTTCAAAATCGCTCTTTTAACAAAGTTTGAGCGATGGATTGTTGGGATTGGGTTCCTGTAGGGGTCACGGCTGTGGCTATATAAGAATTGTTTGTTATCTTAATGATTTGATCTTACTGCTTAGTGCCTCCTTCAATTTAGAATTTCATAGAGGTTTTTTTGGTTGTTGACCAATTGTTATGCACATTCTTTTGGACTCAGGCTAATGAAATATCTGGAGGATATATTAACAAGGTAGTTGTTACCTGCCTTCGAAGTGGCCTTAACAGGATGGTCCGAGTTATGCAGAAGCAAGAACGCACACCTATTAGAGCTTTAAGAACATCTTCATCTAGAAGGTGAATCTCGAAGCTAAAATTTTGTTATTATTTACTTTGTTGTTTAGTTTCTGAATCATGTTTTGCTTGCAAGCTTTTCTGTTATATTTTATATCTTGTAATAATAATATTGATAACTCTACTAGGAATATGGAATTTAGTAATTTTATAAACGACGGAGTTTGTATGGAACCATACTTTGTTGGGCATAATATATGATTTATTTGTGTATCTCAGCTTTGAGATCTTAGTATATGTTACACCTCCTTGGCTGATTGTGCAAAATGGTATCCTACAAAATGTTTTAATCCTTGTTGTTGATGGGGCTGTTGGGACTAGCTCAAAATTTAACTTTTGTTGCTCAAATGCTAATATCTTTGTTGGTGTTAGTGAACAGTTTTGGTGTTTAAATTTGTTTAAGGAAAGGTTTGCTTCATTTATGTCCTTTTTGTTTTTCACATCCAGCATTTTGATTGATTGTAACTGGTTTGTGAAGATTTTGTATCCATCAAATATTCTAAAATTTTTGTTTGATAGCAAACGAAATAAGTTCCCGCATCCTCCCTCTTTTTGAAGGGGGATTTATGCCAGAAGTATTAATTCAATTTTATCAAACTCTTGTACTAAATGTTTATATTTGCTTTTCATCCGGGATCTGGTATCTTTTTCCACCTTGTATTAATATATAGATTTGAGATTACATCATGGCTTTCAATAGTTGGATATCCTTATTATTTCGTGATGCACCTGTGGAAGTTTGTGGAATCTGCAAATTGAAATTGTGGAATCTTCTAACATTACATGTTAACCTTGTATTTCTTTAAGAGAAAAAAAACAGCTTCAAGTTACGTGTGATTGATGAATTTTACTTTTCATTGGGATAACTAGACATGACACCACAACACCATGCTAAATATTTTAATATATTTTTTTTATTGAATTTTCCAAGATACTGTCTCGGTTCAAAAGAAAACCGAGGTGAAAAGTCCTTTAAAAAAGATGGCAAAATCCTACTGCTTCGGTTACTTTTGAACTGAGGCAAAATCTACATCTTTATTCTCGGTCCCCAACCGAGAGAAAAAGGGGTAGACTTTTTGCCTCGCCTGTATATGTCTCGGTTCCAGAACCGTTGTCTATGGGCGGAAATAACCGTTGTCGTTTCCCTTGACTACACTAGTGACATTTGTAATTCTGTGAGTATAATATTTTTTATTCGCAAAAAAGGGGGGTGCACCTTCATATTTACTTTATATTAAAATACATTATAACTGTTGATATTGATGAAAAAGAAAAAAAAAGTCAATGAAGTTAAGGAGAATTTGGATAAGGAAAATGACAAAGGTGACGAAATAGAAAGTAAGATTAGTCAATTTATTGAGAAGAAATAGATTAGGGATACTATGTAGATATGTAAAAATAAAATTGTTTAAGTAAAGATTCATTTTAAAGATTTCCACATAAAATGAGAGAGATCAAAGAAAAGAAATGTTTAAAGTATTATTTTTTCGATGAAGCAAGTGATTGAGATAAAAAAAATTGTAAAAAACTATCAAGTTATTTTAAAATATGGCATAACAACATTGAAGACAATATAAGTTCGACATATAAGTGGTGATGAAGGAAAATTTGAGGTAGAGTTAGAGTGATACAAAA